AAATAAGTATTTGAACAGCTGTCTATCAGCTAGTATTTTGACCCTCAAAGACCTGTTAGTCTGCCTTCAAAATGTCCACCTCCACTCTATTTATTATCCTAAATTAGATGCAGCTGTTTGAGGTTGTTAGCTGCATAAAGACATCTGTCCACCCCATACAATCAGAATAAATATAACTACTAAAATGGCCAAGTCCAAAGAGATGTCCAAAGACACTAGAGACAAAGTTTCACAAAAATTCACAAAGACATCATGATTTGAAATCATGGCATGGAAGGTTCCTCTGCTTAAAACAGCATAAGTCAAGGTGCTTCTTAAGTTTGCCAATTAACATTTGGATGATCCAGAGGAGTCAAGGGAGAAAGTCATGTGGTCAGATGAGGCCAAAATATAAATTTTTTCATAATTCCACTAACCGAGTTTAAAGGAAGAGGAATGAGAGCCATCCCAAGAACACAATCTCTACTGTGAAGAATGGGGGTGGTAGTATCATGGCTGGGGGCATGCATTGCGAGGTTTTGATTGATCACTGAAGAAGGGTTAAGGTTGGGTCTAACAACATTTCCAACGTTTTTTTATTGTCATTACACTGTCACAAGTACAGAGCAATTAAATTACCCCTCTGCATTTAACCTATCCCCTTGGGGAGCAGTGAGCTGCCATTGTGCAGCGCCTGAAGAGCAGTGTGGGGGTTAAGAGTCTTGCTCGGGGACCCTGAATGACAGTCTGTGGGAGTGGGTCTTAGGCCCCGTCCACACGAAGTCAAAACGAACACGAAACGCTGATATTTTCCAAAACGTTTGCCGTAAAGACGGAGACGTAAAATANTCCAAAGAGATGTCAAAAGACACTAGAGACAAAGTTTCACAAAAATTCACAAAGACATCATGATTTGAAATCATGGCATGGAAGGTTCCTCTGCTTAAAACAGCATAAGTCAAGGCGCTTCTTAAGTTTGCCAATTAACATTTGGATGATCTAAAGGAGTCAAGGGAGAAAGTCATGTGGTCAGATGAGGCCAAAATATAAATTTTTTCATAATTCCACTAACCGTGTTTAAAGGAAGAGGAATGAGAGCCATCCCAAGAACACCATCCCTACTGTGAAGAATGGGGGTGGTAGTATCATAGCTGGGGGCATGCATTGCGAGGTTTTGATTGATCATTGAAGAAGGATTAAGGTTGGGTCTACCAACATTTCCAGCGTTTTTTTATTGTCATTACACTGTCACAAGTACAGAGCAATTAAATTACCCCTCTGCATTTAACCTATTTCCTTGGGGAGCAGTGGGCTGCCATTGTGCGGCGCCTGAAGAGCAGTGTGGGGGTTAAGAGTCTTGCTCGGGGACCCTGAATGACAGTCTGTGGGAGTGGGTCTTAAACTCAGAACCTCAGGATTCCAAGCGCAATGCTCTAACCAATAGGCCACCACTACAACATGACAATGACCCGAAGAACACAGCCAGGATAACCATGGAGTGGCTCTGTAAAAAGCATATCAAGGTTCTGGCGTGGCCTAGCCAGTCTCCAGATCTAAACCCAATAGAGAATCTTCAGAGGAAGCTCAAACTCTGTGTTTCTCAACAACAGCCCAGAAACCTGGCTGATCTAAAGAAGATCTGTGTAGAGGAGTGGGCCAAAATCCCTCCTGCGGTGTTCAAACCTGGTGAAAAACTACAGGAAACGGATTACCTCTGTGATTGCAAACAAAGGCTACTGTACCAAATATTAACATTGATTTTCTCAGGTGTTCAAATACGTATTTGCTGCTGTATCAAAAAAAAAATAATAATAGTTTAAAAATCAAAAATTTTTAATTTTTTTTTGTTGTAGTTATTTTTTTTTTTTTTTTAGATAATGTCTTACACAATTTCAGACCCTTCCATGAGTTCTATGTAGCAAAACTTGCAAATATCAGGGTATTCAAATACTTATTTTCCTCACTGTATGTAAACAACATAAAAATGATCAGAAAATAAGACACTTTCAGTCCAGGTTAAACATGCAATGTTGTTAATGAGAATCCTGTTATTTCTCCTTCTATAGTTAATTGAGAAAACATAATTTTAATAGCCAAATACATTTCCAGTAAGTGTTGGTTTTGGGCCTTGTTATCTTTTTAACTGTATACTGAAGGAAAAAATATATATATTTTTTTTTTATTAAGAAGAAAGTTGACTTTGTCATTCATGTTTTCTTTTGGATGGAAATGTATTTTAGGGGGAAACTGCTTTGTTTGCTTATCTTTTAATTCTATAATGTACTTTAAGGTTGCATTCATTCTATCAAGGGAAAATAAAGCATATTTTTTTCAGGATTTTTTAGGTGTATAACAAAGCACATTAATACATATATATATATAAATAATCTTTTCCATTTTTAGATAAATCTCTGAAGTACTTTGATGAAAAGAAAAGCTGGATTGAAGCCTTGCAGCAGTGCCGTGAATTAAATTATTTTCTGGTTGAAATCACCAGCAAAGACGTGCAGGAAAAGGTGAAAAGCCTCCTACCTCATAACTTGACGGATGGAGTTTGGGTTGGTTTGGAACGGTCCATCTTTGGTACTAATTTGGAGTGGAAGTGGGTATCGGGACTCACAAATGTTTACCCCCAGTGGGCCCAAAGTTTTCCTGTTGACATCCTGAACAATCACTGTGGAAAGGTTACCTGGCTGGATCAAAACACAACACAGCTGCTGGACGCACTGTGCAGTGATAAATTACCTTATATCTGTCAGGGTTTGGCCTAATTGTGAAATATCTGATGAAATAAGGTAAGCTCTATCGTTTGTTACTTGGTACTTGAATAGGAAAAATTATATAAAGTAATTGTGTTTTTATTTGTGTTTTTTTTTTTTTTTTACAGCAAACCCAATATAAGAACTACACAGAGTTCTAAAGTATGTTTATCTTATATTTACATTGGAAAATAATTCCAATGACTTGTGATTGGATTGCATGTCGTTACAATCACTGTTTTGACACTTTTTTCTATTAGTAACTAGTTTAGGTTTTTGCAAAGCCTTAGTCTAAAATTAAAAAGGCTTGCATGTCTAAAAAAAATGGTTCATACACACGGATTATATTTTCAAAAAAGGCACAAAGAGATTGGTGTTTGCAATTCAGCAGAAAATGTAAAAACGGTCTTTAGCATGTTTGCTTACATCAAGTATGTTGATCATATTCGGATGACCAAACTGGAGTGGAGGATATGCAAATGTCAACTTTTACCACATGCAAAGAGATTTTCCAAACACAAAAACTCACCTGCATCCTCGGTTGTTGTTTTTTTTAGTACGTCTAAAAGTAACATGCAAACTATCAGAAAAATATCCGTGGTCTTTGTTGCCATAAATGAGGCATTAGTATGATGCCAGATGGTAGAGGAATATTCTATGCAAATTTAAACAGTTTGACCGTCAAAAATAATCCACCTGCTCCTTTCTCTATTTAAACTACTGTCCTGCTCACCATTATTGGCACCCCTGAAGATTTAGTACATATGATGGAATATTTCCAAAAGAAAAGTCATAAAAAGAAAGATTGGTCTTCACAAAAGAGAACCTGGACAACCTCAAGCCTTCTGGGACAACATTTTATGGACAGATGAAACAAAAGTGGAGCTTTTTGGTAATTCACACCAACAGTATGTTTACAGACGGCGCAATCAAGCCCTTAAAGAAAAGAACACCATACCAACATTCAAGCATGGTGGAGGATGCATAATGCTGTGTGGCTGCTTTGCGGCATCTGGTACTGGAGGCCTTGACCGTATCACAGGCATCATGAAATCAGAAGATTATCAAGAAATTCTAGAGCGAAATGTCTTGCCCAGTGTAAGAAAGCTTGGTTTGAGGCAAAGATCCTGGGTCTTCCAGCAAGATAATGACCCAAAGCACTCCTCCAAAAGCATGCAGGCATGGTGGAAAGGGAAAAAATTGACTGTTTTAAAATGGCCAGTAATGAGTCCTGATCTCAATCCAATTGAAAATCTTTGGGTAGAGCTGAAATCTGCCATTGGAGAAAGGAACGCTGCAAATGTACAAGTGCTTGAACAGATTGCAAAAGTAGAGTGGGAGAAAATGCCACCCGAGAAGTGCAAGAAGCTTAAAAATGAATATAAGAAATGTTTGGAGGCTGTCATTGCTGCCAACCAAATATTGCAACCAAATATTACGGAGGGGTGCCTGAATACTGGATCCTTCTGTTCTGAGTTGTGACAAAAATAATATATCTTAAGAAAAGTCAGCACAAGTTTCTCTCCTTCATTTTACACCCACTCTTCTTCATAAAGGTTTATCATTTCATTTCATGTTTATTCAGTTTTAAATGTTCTATTTTTATCTATTTCAAGTTAACTTTTATAGTTATAACAATTTTACCTTTTAAATTTCCATTTTTCTTCCCCTATTTTTCTTAATATTTATATAAATATATCTAACATTATAGAGGGGCATTATTGTGTTTCTGTTGGATATTGTGGGGCTATAGATTATATTTATATTTTGTTATACAGATATTGTATATAAAACTGAGATGACTGTTTTTGTCAGCCTTAAGCTACTTTAAATTCATTTTATTAGTTTGTTAAGGTCCATTTATACTCATTTGTGGCTAAGCTTTAATCTGATATGGACCCTTTGATCAGCTTTTCAAAAAGAATAACAAACATGCTAAAACGTATTAGCTCTCCTGCCTCAGCAATACCTTCATTTAAATAATTGGTGTCTGGTGTTTCATCATTGCAAATAAGATTACATTATTTAAGTAAATTTTATATTATATTTCTACACATTTAATAAAGATTGTATTTGCTTTAGTTTTATCTGTAGTGATTGCTGAATTCTTGTGCCTTTGGTTTTTGATGTCTAAAAAACATGAGTTCAATATAAATAAAATCTGAACATTTCAGACTTATAGTTAAACAAAATCCCTGTAAGTTTTTGTCTTTCATATCTTTTATTGTTAACAGTAAAGACCTAAATCTTCTTTTTCAATAAAGCCAGTACAAACAGGATGAGAGCTTACATATTAAATTATCACTATTTTTTATTCCACCCAACATTTCAGGGAAAAACTAAAAGCAAATCAAATACTTCTAAAATTAAATGTATGTTGCACTGAATAAGACAAGAAAGACTGATGCAGATTCTGAATGTTGCACATGCCTGCATTAAAACCAGCATAACGATGTATATAAATAAGAATATTTTAATATCGAGACTCATAAAGACCCAAAAAACAATAGTAATAATGGGAGGTCCATTTTTACCTTCCTTCTTACTCAGTTATCTGCTTTTAATAGCTCAGATGTTTACTTTTGGCTCTTTATTTTGCCAGTTAATACAAAATATAAAAGTATTAGACATATAATATTTCAAATATTTAGTTTCTCCCTCACACGGTCTCTCCAAAATTACAGAACTCTAAAATGACTTACAAGTCAGTTGAATAAAAATGTAATGAAAAACTCCATAAATGTCAAAAAAAAAAAAAAACTTGACAATGTTAAACATGGACGAAAATGAACACAAACATCTAGTTTTGACTCTTATTTGAAATTTTTTTTTTTGCAAACACTGAAAAGGACTTTTCTGTTTTTGTAAGACGTTCACAATCATCAAAAAAAGCTTGAATCTAGTAACTCCGAAAACACACAAGAAAAAGAAATAATAAAGAATAAAAGATATTTCCAGATTGAAGTGGAAAATGGCAAATAAATGAGATAGAAATCAAAGCCGGCTGTGATGTTGGGGTGTGTCTAAGGTGCTTTGATGAGGACCGGACAGACATGACACAGTTTTGTCAAAGATTTACCTTTGGAATATAAAAGAACATTTCATGTAGTCTGATTACATTTAAATGTTTCATTCTTTATTCCATCTTATCAAAAGCAAGTAGTGCTTCAGTGCTTTTTGCCATAAGTCACTTCTTTTTCCTGTTTTTTGCAAACCTCAGTCCTGCTCCTGGGTCATCTCTCTAATGCACTCATACAGGTTCCGCTTCCTGTCTTCAGGAGCGCTCTGGCTGATCTTATCCAGCAACTGCTCTGCCTCCGTTAGTGCTTCCACCTTTGGGTTGGTGTGTGAATACAGGAAGCCTTTGAGCAGCTCGTAGTGGCAGTATGGGGAAAGCAGGCCACACAGGTAACGCAGGAACATATCATAGTGTCCCAGCTTGGAGCTTAGGGTCAGTGTCCAAGCGCTCTGCACAAGGCCCACAGCTGATCTGCTGGGTGAGCTGAACTTCATCCATTTATTGTCCAGGATGTTTTTGGCATCGACGTAGAATATAAGGAAGACGTACAGAGCAGCCATGAACTCCTAAAGAGGAAAAAACAGTGAGAGTTAGTTGCGGTCACATCTCTTTGCTTTCCTTTGAGAGGCAGCGCCACCTTATGGGAAAAGGCAGACACTACAGTTGGATTGGGAGTTAATGCAACCTAAGGGCTATGAAGTTCAGGTGTAAAATAAGCAAACTGATGTGTTTTTTTCAGGTTTTAAGGGGTGGAGATATAACAGCAGAAAGGGGAACCGTTATATGACTTCTGCTGGTCGCTCATATGGATGATTTCAGATTCATAGATGTATGAAGGTCAATCTTTACCTCTCACTGTATGTGAGCATCTCATAATAGTTACAATTCATATACAGTACAATACAATAAATCAATTATTGCCATTTTCATCTGCTAGACTTGAACCAGTCTGATGCGTTCAAGATGTGAAACTAGCTGAAAGTGAGCATCCTTTAGATATCCAGAGATGACCACTGCTATCTGCAAGTTATTTAGTTTTTAAAAAGTTAATAAATATTAGATTTACCATTTAAATTCTTATCTTAAGTCTCTCACTTCACCAAGAAAACCTGTCAATTAGAATTTTCTTCCTGCAGGAATAGATTATTTCACTTATTCTAAGAATCTTTTATAAACAAACTTTTTTGCAGAGTAAAAATAATCTTCATGGGCGAAACTGAAGCAATGCTGAAACCTGTGTTGAAACAGGAGAAACAATCATAGTGAAGCTCCAATTTTATAAAAATACAGCTGGACCCCTGGGCTGCAGACAGCCTCAGAGGTCAGCTCCTAAAATCACTTTAGTCTTTGTCTTTTTTTTTTCCCCAATGGGATTTTCTGCCTGTTATTATCCTGCTCTCAATTTGCATCCAAAATTCCTCAGTTAGTTTAATAACTGCTCATTAAATAATTCAACAGCCCATCAGAAATAAACCTCCTTCTTCAACTAGGTTCTTAAACAACCTTACAAAGCAAAAAAATATTAGATATCCAATTTATACCAATTTTTACACAATTAGTAATAAACTTTTAAAATTGCTTCCATTGCACAGAAACTGGCAGCAGTTGTTTTCGTCAACAATGACAAAATTATTTCGTTGATGCTCCTTTTTTCCGTTATAAGGAGAACTGAAGAGCTAAACATGGATCTTTGATGACGAATACATGACGAGTCATGGGTGGGAGTTTTCGTTGACGGGACGAGACTGGATAAAAACATTAGCGTGTGGTCTGTCAGACGTTTAAAATGCATCATTGTGCTGTAATCTGCTAAGTAGTATCAGCCTGTTTTGTCACTCCGCCCACCTGGCGTGCAGCGGTGCACATTCTGCATGACCACAGATGGAACATGGCAGCAGCGGCAGGCATAAGAGTAAGCTGGAAAGGTCCGGTACTGCACGCTCATCTCTGACAAACTCTGCTCTTCAAGCTGTGCTTTTGCAGAGATGCATCTTTGTGCGCTTAGCTCAGAGTCTACGCTCCACACCGATGCTTCCCTCTCAGCAATATGACTCTTCCAGCCCTCGCTACTTAATTAACTATATGTGGCTGATCATTCTTTGCCAAGTGTAAAAAATCCTTTTTTTTTAACTATAAAGATTTTATTTCCTCCAGCTAACAAGGGGTGATACAAAAACTTTATTTTTAAATTATATCGAAAGAAAATATTTCATTGCATACTGTTTATTTTTTGGATAAAGACCCAGATGAAAAGGTACATAGATTGCTGAATATTTCTCTTGATAATGTAAAAGTTTCCTTGTATTGTTTCCTTTGAATATTTCAACATTTTAGTTTATATATTCTTGATCTTTAGCTCTGGGTTGCCATGGCATTATAAAGCAATTTTGCAGATTCTCTCTGTATTTTGTTAAATCTACTTTGACCCCTGAGCAGCAGTAACCAAGGGGCAAAAAACAAGAATTTTTTTGATCTTTGCTTTTCTGGAGCAACGAAGATTTTATTGATCTGTGTGTAATGCATAATTCAGAATACATCAGGAAGTGTTTGCTTCTGGATGAAAACCTTGTATGTCTAAAACCATTCCTTTATTGTACATTTTGTTAGCTTGTTTGTCTGCTATGTTACCCCTTGCTCACACTGGCTCCAGTGCGGTTACCGAGCCGACGGAGACCGCAACTCCCGCACACCCCCTCTCACACCGCCCTTTTGACTACGGTGCGATGCGGCTCTGCGGCTCCGGCAACAGGTCCGGAGATTTAACTCGCGAGAACAGAAGTTCACTTGAGTTCATGTAACTTCACGCGATAACACGGCCCAAATAAGGATATTTGCGAGAGCTTGTTGCTGAGGGCTCCGGCACACCGCAAGGATAGCTTTCTTGCGGAATTTTCTGCAGCGCCGGAGTGTCTTGGTAACCGCAGCCGGACAGCTCAGCAGCCTGTGAGAGAGGTTTACGTCTTTTTAATGACTTGGAATCACTGCGGCGCCGCACCCACCGCACCGCAACGGTAAGACCGGAGTCGGTGTGAGCCTGGGGTAAACCATATATGTTGAACTAGATGTGCTATTTTCACAACTTTTGTGAGACACTTTTTTATAAAGTAGGTCATTAATTTGTAAAAAAAAAAAAAAAAGTTTATTTGAATTCTGTTAATCAAAGTTTTCTGCCCAACAGCAATGATGAACTGCACTGCAGAGTTCTATACCCAGCAATTGTAGTATCTAGGCTAGTATCTAGGCTAAAGTTTATTTTATTTTATTTTTTATTTTTTTACTACTTGCTTTGATTCTGTTTTATTTTCCTATATTTTCGATCATTTAAAGCCCTTTGCATTGTCTTTGTACTGAATTGTGCTATACAAATAAATTTGCGTGCCTTGCCTTGCCTTGCCTAGAGTGGTCAGTCTGGTAAAGAATCTAGTTTTTATTAGAAATTGTAAAGGTTAGATGTTTTAAGAATTGCAACACAAAACTGACTAAAACTAAACTTCTCGACTAAAACTGGACAAATACTATCACATATAATAATGACTAAAATATGAGTAAATCTAATAACAGTTTTTGACTAAGATGGCTGTCAAAAACAATACTGATTGGCAGACTGATTGGTTTGTCCCTTCTTTATTTTGGTAAGGAGTTAAACAGCTGCTGATTGGAAAAAATATACAGACATGACAGGGTGTTTTACCTGTAGGGTGAAGTTCGAGAAGCAGAATGTCCTTTTGGCAGAGGAGGCTTTAGAAGGGAGCTCGGTGCACAAGCCAGAGAACATCACAACCTGGGTCAGATCCAGTTCCAACTCCTTCAGATCCTCCTCAAAAAACACGCTGGTGTTGGCCTGCAGCATCTTGAAGGCCAACTTTGCCAAGTTCCTCAGAAACTGCCTCTCTTTCTCGCGCCATTTCTGCATGAACACAGGCCAGAAACAGTCGATTAAAATATGTCAACACAAACAAGAAAACATTAACAGGCAGCATCTGTCAAATACCATATCAAGAGTTCTATTGTAGTAAAACTTGAGGCTGCGATTCGTCTGAATGATCAGAAAGTGGATGTGAAACGGCGTCAGTCTGGGACGTTTGGTGCCGTAGTTCGGATTCCTATAGTTGTCGCCGAAAACTTTCGCCACCATCCAGGAGTAAAAAGGATTGCGAGTGAGGATCTGAATCATTGGCACTCGTTTGTAATGTCTCACAATCTTTTCTGCCAGCTGAGCGTTAGTGAAGCGTTTGGTCAGGTAGTCGTCTCTCATGGCTTCACTGGAGAAGATGGAGAAAGGTAAGGAGGAAGCCAACCACAAGGCATAAGGTTGTTTTTTTATAATAAAAAAAAGGGAAAGGGACCCACTTGAAACCTTGCAGCTCAGTTATGACATCTATATACTTAGACGGTATCTGTGACACTGCTGCACGCCTGCCCAGGATCCAGATGCGTGCACCACGGAGCAAGGTCCCTCGGATCAAGTTGACGACTAGGACATTCATATGAGCTTTGGTGTTGTTGTCAGTAATCACTGGAGCGTTCTGCAGGAAGGAACAAAACATAAACAACTTCAAAAAAAAAGTTATTCAAAAAATCTATAGATTTAAGACTGTATTCCGCTTTCTTAGGAGCTGATTATGAGCAAAAAATCTGCAAAATCTTCATTTTAAATTGTTTAATGAAGTATTTTACTTCCTTGAAAATGTTTTTTTTTGTGTGTGTGAATTATAAAAGATGCAACTCAGTAAATTTGAATATCTGAACAAAGTTGATTAAATCAAAAATCATTTAGAAAGTTAAAATCACAGATATGCTTTAAACAGACTGAATTCATGTTATGAAGAAACTAGACAACTGCTGACCTGACGGCCGCCCAGCTCACCTTTACTGCTGGTACATTTGATTTTTTTTATATTGGTCTTTTCTTTAATATTCTAACTTTCTGAGCACTATAGTTTAGGTTTTTTCCTATTTGCTGCAAACCATAATCACCAGAAAACGAACCCAAAAAAATTATAATCTACCACTCTGACATACAGGGAGTATGAAAAGAATTCAAATCCCTCTACATATTGCAATCGTTGTTTGATCAAAAAGTTCATTTAATTCTACAACCTATTCTACTTAAAAAAAACAGAAATGAATAATTTTTGCTAATGTATTTAAAAGAAAAGCTGAAGTATCCCTGGTCATACGTATTCAGACCCTTTGCTGACATTTAACTCTACTGCTGTCCGTTTCCTCTGCTCCTCCTTGAGATGGTTCTACTCTTTCATAGGAGTCAGGGTGTGTTTAACTGAACTGACTGGCCTTGATTAGGAAATGCACACACCTGTAGATATAAGACCTTGCAGATGTCAGTGCACGCCGGAGCGAATGACAATCATGAGCTAAAGGGACTTCCCAAGAAGCTCAGAGACAATGCACAGATCTGACCACGGTTATAAAAGAGTTTCTGCAGCACCCAAGGCTCCTCAGAGCACATTGGCCAGCAGAGCTTTGGTGAGGGAGACGAAGATGAACCCAAAAATCCTTGATGCTGAGCTCCATAAGGGAGACGGGAGAAAGTTCCACAAGGTCAATTATCACTGCAGCCCTGCACCAGTGAGGGCTTTATGCCAGAGTGGCTCAACGGAAGCCTCTCCTCAGTGCAAGACATATGAAAGCCAGCAAAGTTGGCCCAGAAATACTTAAAGGACTCACAAAATGTTAAACATAAAATTTTCTGGTCTAATGAGACCAATATTCAACTGCTTAGCATCATTCTAAGCAATATGTGCAGAGAAAAAAAAAACACTCATCATCTGCACAATACAATCCTAGCAGTGAAACATGGTGGTGGCAGCATCATGCTATGGGGGTGTTTTTCAGCTACAGAGACAAAGGACAGATCAATACGGCCAAATAGAGTGATATCCTGGAACCTTCCAGAAAGACCAGAGCCTCCGACTCTTAACAAGTCAATGACCCTAAGCACATGGCGGGGTTAAAGGAGTAGCTTCAGAACTACTCAGAGCCAACTATGAATGGCAGAGGATCAACATAGGTGTTAAAAGCTTTCTGCGCCATTCCCAAAGAAGACTCGTGGCTGTATTAAGGCTGATTTATACTTCAAAAATAGGTTGTCTGCGTAGGTGTTGCAGTGAACAAAAAGACATCCCCGCCCCCTCCGCAGACACTCTGCTGCACCTCTCCCAAATTGTAGGTGACTGCAGACAGTGCCGCAGACAGGAGAACGGCTTATTTTGTTTTTATGACCGCAATTGCGGAAAAAAACTCGTGATTTGAGCATAAATCAAAAATGTCTGCATCAAGATCACTGTGACACACTGCTGCGGGGAGTTTTACAAGCCCTTTGGCTCAAATGTTTCTAAAATTTGCTATTTAAATTTGCAGAATGTTCCACTTTACTGTTTTTTGTCAAGTTGGAGTGCTTGGTGTACACTGATGACAAATAGAAAGAACTTTTTTTCATTTTAGCAAAGGGCTGCAATGAAACAACAAGTGGCACCTTTTAAGGGGTCTGAATACTTTCCGTCTCCACTGATATCAACATGGAAATTCAGATTTTAAACGAAGAGCAACATGAACTAGATATGTATCCAGATAAATGGAGAAGCTCCTGTATGTGAGAAGATGGAATACCTCCCAGTCCAGGGGCCCCATGTAGGAATCCATACAGTCCATAATGATAAGAAACCTGGCGTCTTCTTCCTCCAATAATTTATGATATTCTTTAGGATAGTGGTAATAACCCAGTACGTCAAAAATGGAGTACTCCTTTCCACTATCTTCTCTGTCTCGATAAAGCCTCAGAGCACGGAATGAAAGCTTAAGGACGTACTGCAGATCCTACGGAGAAAATAACAGGAAAAAGAAGAACTTAATATACAAAAACATTTATATAACTTAAATACTATACATAGAAGAACAACAAAAATTTAAAGAAACTACATCATTGGTGGTAACTTGGTGGAGTGGGGGCCTAGTGGGTAGGGCATTGCGCTTGGAATCCAGAAGTTCTGAGTTTGAGCCTCACAGACTGTCACTCTGGGTCTCTGAGCAAAGACCCTTAACCCCACACTTAGTTAAATGTAGACAGTTCATTTCGTTGCTCTGTACTTGTGACAGTGTAATGACGATAAAAGCTAAAAATAAAATAAATAATTCAAATGCTATAATAGGGATTAAAGGCAAAAGACAGATAAGCCCAGTTTGTTGCCAAGGAAATAGAAAAAGTGACGCCTACTAGTGAGGAAAAAGAAAAGCAGATTTTATTTCTTAAAATCTTCCATTAAGGTGAGCCTTATGAAGTGCAGCTAATAACCAGTCAGTTGATGGATTTCTTTTGCTGTGCTTCTCTGCTGCTCCTCCAGAGTTATAATTTGCCAACTAACTACTTTGTTAAGGAAGGTGGGAAAAAAATCCAGGAGACTTTTAGCGGTGCACTCCTAAAGTGGCCCTAAAGGAAGATTTTTGAATTGAGAAAGCTTCCTGGAGGGGAACAATCCACTGAAATTCAGTGGATTGTCTTTTAAACTTTTACGGAAAGTTAATGGTAGATCAGTGCTGAAAGAAAGCATAACATTTATTTTGCAAGAGTTGTGTCTGAGACGGAGCCAATGTGGAAGAAACACCATCTGGTAAGATGAAACAAAACGCTTAAGAGAGCAGAAAAACTAACTCTGCCCATCACCTTGAATGCATCACTCCAAAGATAAAACAGGGTGGAAGAGAAACACAGGATGAAAGACACTAGAACAGGGGTAACCAATTAAAAATTAACGGGGTCCGAATAAAGAAAATTATCAACCAGTAAAGGTCCAGAGACATTTTAAATTATAATCTGTTAATTTAAACAGAATTTAACACTGAAAAAAATGAGATGTTTATGCATCCATGTTATACATTGATTTTTTTAATAAAAAAATATATTTAAAAAAATTTTACATTTTTAAATCTAAAGTGTTTTTTTAAGTAGAGAACGAAAATAGTTCAGTTTGGTATATAGACAATTTCCTGATTCACATATTTTATAAAATGCCTGAACTGACCGTTATTTATTTTATTTTTTCTGGCTTAATGAGAGCAGTGGGCTGGATGTATATTTATTTTTCATTCTGTTCATGGTGGAGAATCCTGCTTCACAGCAGCGTTCGAACCAAACATACTCTAAATGTTCAGGCTCATCTTTGAGCACGCCATTTCACTTTACTGTCACCAGTTCACTGTAGTTTTTACAGCAGTCCACCATTTCTTTCATTTTTTCCTCATCGTCTTCTCCTTCTTTCTCATCGCCCGGCTTGCCAAAGGTTTGCCTGCTGTGTCTAAAAGTAGCAGCAGCAGCAACCCAGACTGACAGCTCATTGGCTAATTTGTATCATGTGTAGTCTGGTCCCGGACACTCTGGATGGCTTTACCGTACAAATAGGAGAATCTGCGTAAGTGAAATTAGACACTGCCGTCAGACAAAATGCTGCAATTTATAAATGTTTTAAATCAGGTTGGGTCCGGATTAGCCAGCAGGTGGGTCTGGATCTGGACCTTGGTCCGCTGATCCGTGACCTCTGCATTAGAGACTGGGGTGTAGCATCACCTCACCTGTCTGAGCTTCAGCTAACGGGCCAACATTCTAGTTCATTGATGTAGAAATCTGCTAAAGAGAGGTTCTTAAAGACCTGCAGATATAACTACAGTGGAAGGAGCTTCTACAAAGAACAGACTCAGATCGGTGAACATTAGGGATGTCGAACTTTCTAGATTTTCAGTGCTTAAAATGATTTCCTTTCATTTTAGATTTATAAAATGTTTTATGTTGGTCAAAGGCATCATAACTCCTATTAGTTCTACCTTTATTGTGATCTACAGATGATTAATTTAGTGCTTGTGTCAGTTCTCACCCGGTTGGCACAATCATCTGCCCAGTCTAGCGAGAACTTTGCCACGGAGACGGACATCCCGACTCCTGGAATCCCCGTGGTTACCACTGTCCTCACCGGGGAGCCGTCCGCTTTCTTCAGGCGGAACAGGTCGTTTAAGGCAACAAAAGTGTCCTCAGTAGGAACCTGGACAGGTGTTGGGGGTTGAGCTAAGAACTCGTGAGTGGGGTCGACTCCTCCGAAACCACAGGTGGAAATCTGGGGCTCCACATAGACATCATTCAGGATGTTCGACTTTCCGGCTTGGACTACTCCCTCTCGGATAACTACGAATTTTCGTATATAATATTCTTTCAGGTGAAAACGAAACAGGGCTGTGGATGGAGAAAACAAAAGAGGTTATAAACTAAACAACACGTGCATCGCTTGCTCTCTTTCTGCTCTTTTTTAAGTTTAAAGCTATACTCGGGAAGACATTAGATAAATGTGGCTAATTTTAACGATATAACAAATTTAAATGAAGAAGTCAGGCACATCCTCACCTTTATGGCCTTTAGTCATGAGTTCCCTCATCTCCTCCTCCTTCTCCATGCTCTCAAGAGTGCTAATGGCCTTTGACAGCGCTTTGTACGGACCTGAATAACACGCCAAGAATGCAGAATGAGCTGAGTGAGAACATCCACTCTATGAGTATCCCTCCTTTGTAAATAACTGCGCCTCTTTTTTTAACAACACAAGGAGGAAATTACATTAAATTAAATTTAGTTTATTTATACAGCGCCAATTCACAACACACGTCATCTCAAGGCACTTTACAGTTCACCAGATCATACAGTCAAATTGATTAAAAGTTTTCTACCTAAGGAAAACCAGCTGATTGCATTGACTCATTGACTCAAATGCAATCCCTCACACTAAGCATGCTTGTAGCGACAGTGGAGAGGAAAAACTCCCATGAAACATCCACTTCATTCCCAGTTCTAAGCTCCTGCTGTCCCACATCACGGCGGTGTTTCTTACCGTAGACCTCGATGGCCTTGTCCACAAAGTCCAGAACATCTCCGTCCTTGGTTTGCTCCAGGAGGCTAATTTGGTCCCATCTGTTGTACCAAAGCTTAAACTTGAACAACTCCTGATCGTTGAGCCTAACTACAACATTTAGGATCGTCTTCAGAGAGAAAAGGAGCAAAACAAAAAATAAGGAGATTATCTGTATTTTTTTTAAGCTTAAACAAATGCATGTTCTAGAATTTCACTCTTCCCAAGAAAAAAAAAAGCAAACGTAACAACTGAAAGGAATGCTACATTAATTCGCACACACTTTGAAAATATGAGGCAGGTCCAGTTCTGGGTGCAGCCGTCCCGGCTGGCTGTTTTCATCAGCTTCATTCCAACCCTCCATTTCAAGAGGCTCAGGTGGTTCTGGAGAGCATGTTAACAGAACTTCATCATCGTCGTCCAATTCGTCGTCAGTCAAGCTCCCTACATCCACAGAGCTGACAGAGAAATTCGGTTTTCTTTAGTTTTTTTCAGTAATATAAAAAAACACAAATCTAGATAAATAAATCAGATATGAAGCTATGAAGAAACTCCACATCTGCATGAATGTTAAATGTTTGTTTTACCCGGTGTCAATGACCATAGCGTCGGGTGGTTTGGTCTGCTCGGTGAAATCAGTTAAGATGGTTTCTGTATAAACGGAGTGCATCATCTGAGACCTGCAAAAACATTGATCTGATTAATTCAACCTCTATAAATTATACAGAACCCAAAAGTTTTTAATCACCCCTAATTTATTAGTTTTTTAGAAAGGACCAGTGCTTTCTTTGTAATAAAGAGACTTGATCGGTAGTTTTTCTGGGTTTCTGGAGGCCTTTCAGGTTTTATCATTAGACTTCCAGCTGCTCTCTTAATTCAATTCAGTTTATTTATGTTCCACAAATTGAAACCACATGTCATCTAAAAACACTTTACAGAGACAATTCAACCAGATCATACAGTTAGATTGGTTCAAAGCGTCAGGGACCAGTTGAAACAGAAACAAGAGCTTGCCAAAGGTTCCTGTTAACTGAATGTGTAATAACTGGCACTGAGGGGCTATTTTGGTAATACAAAGGGTTTGCTGCATATTTGCAACAATGGGTGTAAAGGCGTTAATATCTCCACTTTCCCATTTAAAATAAGAAAGCACCAATAGTATTCAAATAGGAAATTTAACAACTGCTGGTATAACTGAAAGAAGGATTAGTGTGAGGGTGAAAACAGAGATTAATTAAGCAAGAAGCCCAGTTAAGACAACAGCAAGTCTCTACTTTATAACCACGGGTCTGCCACATTTACATCATCAGTAGCTGTTCAGATTCAATATGAATCTAATTCAGGATTTATACAGGAATGAATAACTCTAACTTCATGCTTTTTAATGCTCTTTTTTATTGCTCTTAGAAATAATTTTAATGCCACCAACAGGTACCCGTCGCCAGGCTGCAGCCATGTCTTGAATTCCTCGTTTTCCAGCCACTTTTGTTGAAATTTTAATTTTTTCCCCCCATTCCCTAGCCTTTTCTGATTATACGGCTTTGCGATCAACCGGAAGCAGTTCCACACAAGTATATCATGATATAATATGTTTGACGAAATTGTTTTTATGAACAATTTTTTTTTTAAAGAAAGCATTTTAAATGCCACAATAAACACAATTAATGAATTTTAATGCCAATTAAGGCCTTAATTTAAAAAAATAATAATTTAATGACATTTCATGATTTTTAATGACCCGCGGAAACCCTGTAATTACCAAATAAAATAGCGCATAAAGCATGAATATGAAAAAAATCACCCTCTCCATAGATGCTGATTATTTACAAACAAAATCAGTCTCCGTATTTCCATTAAGTATCTGTAAAACTTTGGACAAAAGCGAATTTAAATTGCAGATTGTCCCTAGCTTAACTTGGCTGACAACATTTTGCTCTAACTGACCAATCAGAGAAATCACAGAAAATGCTGACATAGAGGTGGCCACCCCTAGCTGGCCCCTTAGGGAACATCTGAAATCTGATTGGTTGAAGAGAACGTTCCTCAGTAATATTGTTAAAGTAACATCAGCCAGCACTGCTGATTCTGAAGGCTCTGGCCAGATTTCATTGACATAGCAACACACTAATCCTGAAATCTGATTGGACAAAAAAATATAGCAAGCACATAAATGTAATGGAAGCAGCGCTGCCAAGAGAAATGATGCAAAATTAACAGAATGGACTGTTTGGAATAAACTAAAACAATAGGAAAGATAGAAATTAAAGTTTAGGTTATGAATGTAGGTTAGTGTTTCTGATTGATTTTAGGCCAGCATTGAAAGTCTTGAAGGCCCTCACACCAAACCACTGATCAGAGGTGTAGGGACTAGAAAGTAGCTTAAGGAGATAAAACATTTCTGCAATTAAGGAACAGGAAAAGCATCCCGCAACATCATGTGACGGAACCTGAGTTAATTACCCAAATTATGCCCAATTTTAAGCTAATCAACATTTAAAGCTGTAAACAGGCGGCAGTAAACAAAGTATTAATAAATGCATTACTGTTGCGTAGAAAGTGGCTCTGAGTCGATTCACTCCCTTTAACTTCTGTCTCATAATTTCTATTTTATTATTAAGCACAATTCTTATCTGCTTTTGGTGCAGATAACCAAGCGACCTTCTGTTACATCTTACAGAATGTAATAAGTAACTTATTAAGGTTGTAAAATCAAATTTCCAACAAGGAGCGCCGAGACCAATCACAGATCAGAACCAAACTAACAGGATATAGGGTTTACAGCAAATAAATATATCACTGTTTAAATGTTTTGGTATCATGTTAAGTTAAAGAACTCTTTTCTTTAGACAAACTCTTGCATTTCTTCTCTTTCGTTGTAATAAAAAAGTGTATTTACGATGGTATCTAGTAGCAGGAAAGCTACTTAAGTTTGGTAAGGGTCAAATTGGGATGGTTTAACAACTGGGCAGAAGTCTTTAATCTAGCAGCTTAATTAGGGGTCAGCCCTTCCTCCAGGGATTATAATCTGACCTAAGAGATCAAAGCTTTTTGTAAAAGATTAACGAAAACTATCTTTTTCTCCTCAGTGAGGTGTTAACTTCAACTATTAATTAATTTAACATCAGATTAACAAGAATAACAATATGAAGCTATTTATAAAACAAAGTAGTATTTGTATAAACAATGAATACAATTGTTAATATTTATTTGAAATGTATTTTTAAAGTTAAGGAACTTAAATGTAGTTAATTGTTCATTTAACTTTAATTACTTTGTGGGTTTGATTAACAGTGGTTTGCTTAGTGTTTGTTGTATAGTTTATTAATTTACATAAACTAACATACATATTAGTATTTATTTTTCTTCTTTTGGGTTGTTTAAAGGTTTTTACCCATTTCTGGACCAATTGTAAATATATCCTGACTTAAGGAGGATAAAAGGAAGAAAATTGTGTGATCCTTTGAGTAAAACCCTGTTGAAGAAAGTCTGCATCAATTTTCAAGTGGAGAAGCTGCACAAGATGGAAAAGAAGTTGACACAGAATGAAGAGGTGAAATATAATAGAACCTGAATCCAAAGCAAAGGTCAGAAAAGACTTAATATCACTATTTGCACCAAAAATCTTAAAAGCTAAAGGCTTGTTGTATCAAGTATACATTTCTGGAATATTACCCAAGAACTGGAGGTGCTGGAGGATCCGGTTGTGCAAAAACCACCGGTTCACCTCCTCCTGCTCCTCCTCCTCCTCCTTCCTCCTCTTCCTCTCCTTCCTCATCCTCCATTCCTCCTGCACTTTCATCCTCACTCTTCATTGAACCATAACTGGAGGGGGGTCTCACATACTTCTCCTCCTCTTCCACATCACTCCCTGCAGCGTGGTCGCTTTAAGAAGCACAAGAAAACATTTAGTATTAAACATTCCCTTTTTTGTTTGTTTGTTTTTACTTAATTTAGGAGAATACATTTACAAAGCACTGCAACATTATAATACAACTGTTATTACCACGCCAAGTTAAAGAAAATATTGTTTGACAGGAAATAATAATAATAATAACAGAGATAATTTGGGTATTTCTCAGAAATTTACACATAATATACAGATTAATGCATAAAAACGAGCGCAATTATTTGACTTGCGTAAAAGAACCACCTACGTTTCTGAGGCCATGCTTCGAGAAGTTTAAGACGAGCGAAAACGAAACTGTCTCCACCTCCTTTTTCTTAATCTACATCCAGGATTATCTAAACTGGGATTATTTCAACGCTGAGCTGCGCTAACCTGACGGGCTTCACAGAAAACACATTTCCCTGGAAAATAATAAAAACGGTCAAGAACTTGAAGCCTTAACTTCTACTTCCTGTTGCTACTCCTGAGTCATGGAGAAACAACTTCCGGATTTTAATTTTCAAAATAAAAGCATCGAATTTTATTAGTATTTGTTCTGTTTACTGCGCCAAGAAGGTTAGTTTTTTTGGACAGTTTGTGTCTGTTTGTCTGTCTGTGCAATGGAAAATTCCTCTTTAGCCCACCGATTACCAGTATTATTGACCGCAAAGCAGACAGTGGTACTTTTAATTACTATGTTAATAACTGTGTATAGTTCATTAGACAGTTGGTAAAAAAAATACATTCATATAATATGTTTCAAACCGCAATAAAGATCTTAAAAGAAAGAGTTATTTGAGTATTTTATTTTTTACAGTACGCCTTGGAATTATGGGTAATCCAGAGCGTAGATTAAAATCATAGGAGTGTTGTACTTCATATGGGGCCCACCCAGATAATGTTGCTTACGTGTCATTACCCCATTGTGTCCGTGTACCGGATAAATTTAAAAGTTATGGACGGATTTTAATTACATTTTTCTCAGAGGTTTGCCTCATGCCAAGGAGCAATCCATTATATTTTGATGATGATGATGATGATGATGATGATGATGATAATCTGCATACAGGCCCTTTTTTAAAAAATGTTCTCTAACATTATGGGATGGTATTGATGTGCTATGGAAGCCTATTTCTATCAATCTGCTCAAAAAAAAAAAATAATTAAACTTAGCTATCTCTTAATTATGAGAAAGTATACCATTATTATGAGAAACCTGTAATTATGAGGTGCTGGTGACGATTCTTGGTCATCCAGGTCATAGTCGTTCCAAAAAAAGTTAAAAAGCAATCAACTGGACTTTGTTTGCAAATTTGAAGACATGTTTGCTTCCCATTCAGGAAGCTTTTTCAATTCAAAATGTCAGAAATAGCCAGTGGTGTCAAAAGTACACACATTTGTTACTTAAGTAGATGTATAGATAATGCAGTTTAAAAGGTTGAAGTATCAACTTGACCTCTTTACTCAAGAAAAAGTGGAAAAAGTTCCGGTATGTGCTCCAAAAACTACTTAAAGTATAAAAGTATAAAGTGATCTAAAAAAAAAAAAAAAACAGCCAGATGCCAGTATATGAATTGAAAGCTCAATTTTTCGACTATTTAGAAAAATTCTTTGAGATAGGTCCAAGGATGAGGGAGGTCTTGTTGGTGTCCATCACACGATACGCTCTCGCCTGTGTCCGACCTTTCAGATATTTCAACATCTTTTTCTAAATCTAACATTGTAGCATGGCATAGACAATTCATGTTTACAGTTTGAAGAACACCTGCTTGCTTCTGATAATTTCCTTTAGATAACCAATGAGTGTT